GTGCCAGCCCACTAAGTTGGACAGCCTGGGGCTCCCAAGTAGCCTTAGAAGCCCTCAGCCTCAGTCCCTATTGGTTTTTAACAACAGAAGTTATGGGAACTTCACTTCTTGGCCATGAAACCCTTAGCTGGGGGACTGGTGTGGGATGGGGACCCCTCACTGCTCAGGAAGAACCTTCAAAGCCTATGTATCCCTCCTGATTTTATCTACCACATGTGGGCATGTAACCAGCCTGTCCATGCCTCCACCCTTCTTATCAATTTCAAGGTGGCTCCTTCTTTAATTTGGTAGTTGCCAGAAGTCCATTCAGCTCAATTTCAGGAAGTTCTGAAGGATGGTTGTTCTGTACTTTACTTCTAATTTGGATTGGGTCTCGTGGGAGGAGGCGAGTACTGTGTTCACCTTTGGGAGCATCTTGACTGAAAGTCTCTCAATGGAGTTTCAGTTACCCTTTGTCATCATGTGTTTGTTTTTGCATTTTTGTCATTTAAAATATGAACATCTAGGAATGAGTTGGTCATGTTCTCATCTGTTGTTAGGAAGTTTTCTGAGAAAGATCTGCAAGATAGCTAAGCATATATAGATGTAGAGATACAAAGCTAGATAGATAGATATACTGCACATCATATTAGTATTCTGTCCAAGGTATGCATTGTAAATATTTTTCCAGTTTGCCTTTTGACTAGCTGGCGGTGGCCTATCCCATGTAGAAAATTTATTTTCAATTCTTCAAAGTTTTTTCATCAATATTTTCACTGACGGTTTCTGAGTTTTGTGTCATGGTTAGAAAGACCGTCTCCAATCCAAGGTTACAATAGGCTTTTCTCATGTTTTCTTTTAATTGCTGTATATGATATTCTTATTCATTTTTAAATATACAATCCATTTGAACCTTAACAGGGTAGAAAATGTGAGGTATGATGCTCGCTACGTTTTACTCTAGATGGCTTCCCAGTTGCCCATAACATTTATGAAATAGTTCATCTCCAGGCCTTTCACTCTAAAAGAGCCCCTTCACCATGAACTGACGTCCATATGCACTTACTGTGATTCCTGAGACTTTGTGCCCAGCTCCATCCATCTCTCTGCCTGTTTGTATGTTAACACAACATTGTTGTTCTCACTGCTGCTTCTCCGTAGCCTCTAATATCTGTGAGAGCTGCTCTGTTCTCAGTACTTTTTATTTTCTCCAGAAGTATTTGATGTTTCATTTTATTATATGTTCTCATTTTTTTCAATATATAAGATAGATATTGATATCTGTAGAGGAATTTTGTTGCCAGCCCTCACTCCGAGCTGTCTCTCACTGTGGTGATGGTCAGTTGTTTCTCTGGGGTTTTCCAGATGGACTATCACATGTCCTGCCATTCTCTCCTACACCCACTCTTTCAGTCTTCCAGCCTCACTGTCCACTGGAACCAAGCCTCTCAGGATCCACAATAACACAATATTACATTTCCCTAGTTTGATACCTAGTCTTCATCTTATTCTGTCTCGAAGTTGGTTTGAGGGTAGCGCTCACTCCCATCTTCTCAAATCAGTTTCTCATCTCAGCCCCAGGATACTGTGCTCCCCATCTTTCCCCTCCTTCAGTAGCTGCCTCTTCCTACTGTTGTTGTCTGGGCCCTCCTCTCTCTCAGGGTCTGGAGGGTGGGGCCCCAATGTTGAGTCCCAAAACTCTTCTTTATCAACACCCACCCAAGGGTGAGTTCAACAGCTCGTCTGGAAAGTACGGGCATCGTCCTATCATTCATCACAGCACCTTCCCTGCCTGGAACAGGGCCTGGCACAGTGTAGGCACACAGCGGAGGTGTGTAAATGCAGAAATGAATGGAAAAGTTGTTATGATTGTTTTAAATGCTTCATAGTTATGTTTTTAAAGGAAATACCATGTAACTCAATTTGACTATGGCCACAGCATGTGAAGGGAAGTCATAGGACCTGAGGCTGATAATAGTGGTTGTCACCACATCATGTGAAAATAATCTAGCTAACAAATGTCGTCAGCAGAGAGAGAAAGGTGTCATGCAGTGTACATAAAATGCTAAATTTCTTATCTTGTGAAAGGGAACACAAAATACACAGTTGTTGATATTGACAGATGAAAAGTTAAATGACATTTCATTATGCAAAGCAATAAAATAACTTGTAAAAGTGTTAAAATGGACTATAAACACCAGTTGCTATTGGGAATAGAGATTAAGCCAGTCTTTGTACTTCATTATATATACCCTGGTGCTCTCTGAAATAAACAAATGTGCATGCATTGCTCTTGGGAATAAATGGAAACAGATCAAATGAGCCAGGCCATGCAGGGTCTTGAATGCCAAGCAAACCCTTCTTAGCTATGGACACTCAGCTTGCCTGGTGGGTGGGCTTCCTGCACAGGCTCATAGGGGACAGAGAGAGGCCCCAGCCCAGCCATTCCTCACAGGGAGGGGATTGCACAGGGTTAAGATGGAAAGAGGAAGAGCTACATCACTGTCAAATTGTCAGGGCAAAGGAGAAACATCTCGTGAGGTCCTTGTCTCACATTGCCAGAATCTCATTTGCCAGGGCCTCCTGGACAGGAAATCACAGGGGCTGCCCAGCTTCTTGACAAGCCGATCCTGCTCAACATATTTCACTCCTGCTCCAGCAGCCACATCGCATCCAAAGGGTAGAAAAGCATTCTCTGCTATTTATACTCCCTGGAGAGCTCTTCTTCTTCTCACCACCTTCAACTAAGAGATGGAGTTCAGGTAAGAGTCAGATCAGAACTATCTTCTTTAAGGGCAGCTGTGTTTTCTCCATCTTAGTCCACAGCTCACAACTGTATCTGGGTGTGAGACATGCAAGGAGTTATGGCTCCCATCAGAGAGAGTCCAGACACATGGACCTCCCTCAGGGAAGGTGTGGGTGCTGGTAGGTTAGACTGTGGGAGACACACACTGGGCCAACTAGGTCCTTTCTGCTTCATAGACATGGTTTCCAAATGTTAATTTTTGTTTACAATGTGAGATTTCACAGATAAGCCTGCTATTCATCGTGTGTGTGTGTGTGTGTGTGTGTGTGTGTGTGTGTGTGTGTGATGCTTATAACAAGCTTCTCCCACTAACCAGGAAAATAAAAACAAAACCACAAGGCACAAATCAATGAAATAATAGAAGAGAGTATAATAAAGGGACTGTGTACAAAGGGGTGAACAAGACTAAAGAAAAATGACAAAGAATGTCGAGTCCCTTAAAGATAAGTCATAATAGGGAGCTACTGTCCTTGCACTTCCTGAAGGGTAAAGGAAAAGATAAGTCCCCAGACCTCAGGGAGAGCTGTGGCTGTAGCTGGGTTGTCACTGTGACAGAAGGAAAGGCCAACAGACAGGACCATGTCCTTAGGTACAGTAACACCACCATGGCCAACTCACAGCCTGGCAGCAGAGAGCCAGGGAGTTAAACACCTCAATCGTCCGCCTCATGCCTCCAATCACCTCCCAGTGTCTCCCTTTCCTAAGAGCAACCAGGAGCCAGTGGTAAAGGGAGCCCAGTGGTGAGGCAAAGAGACGTGTCCTCCGAGGATGCAGAGGAGGGTTTCAAGAAGGAAATGAGTTTTGATGGTAAATGAATAAAATCCATCTCTTTAAAAAAGCTGTGGTACATATACACAATGGAGTACTATGCAGCTGTAAGAAAGAAAGATCTCTTATCTTTTGAGACAACATGGAGGGACCTGGAAAGTATTATCCTAAGTGAAACAAGCCAAACAAAGACAAGTATCACATGATCTCACTTATTTGTGGAATATAATGAACATAACAGTCTGAGGAATGGGGTAATCCCAGACACATGGAAGTGGGGTACAGACTGACAATCACCAGAAGAGGAGGTTGTGGGGGAGAGATAAACCACAGAACTTATATGCCTGTATGCATGAACAACAGACATAGACTACAAAGCTGGGGACAGGGCAGGGAGGGGGCAGGGGGCAATCATTGGGGGAAAAGGAGAAACATCTGTAACAAAAATAAATTGATTAATTGAAAAAATATCAATAAAATAAAATAAAATAAAATGCATCTCTTCTTGTTATCTTCTAAAAGTTGATTTTCCTTTCTCTCTTTCTCTCTCTTTCTCTTTCAGTGTGATTGGATTGATTTCTCATCTTATCTCCTTAGATTGTTTGTTTCTTTGACTCTCTGCACCTTTCTACCGGGTGTCGCTTGTTTAGCATAATCTCTCACGATCATTGTAAATGCTTTGTGAATAAAATGTTGTTTGTACTTTTGTTGTTGTTATTTTACAGTTGGAGTACATGGCTATTAATAAGTATTTTACATTTATGATTTTGGCTGAAAGAAATCCAGTATAAGACTGACTTAAACTGTGTCCCACACATAGCTAGACACACCATTGTACAGGAGAAAGTACTTCCTGCCTTCATAAAGATGATACACTGGGCCATTTCCACCACAAGAGAGCTGGTCCTACTCTTACCTCTCTTAGCAAGAGGTTGTGTTCCATTCATAACCCTCCATCATTGATCTCCTTTCTGCAGGATGGACATTGAGTCACTGAGATAGTAAACAGAGTGGTCATGGCTGGGGCTGCCAACATCCAGCCCTTTAAAGAAATCTCAGTCCCAGAAAGAAGTAATGCTGAACTCCGAGTCCTGGGGTCATCACACATTTCCTGTCCAGACTATCTTTCTCCTGTCCCTGCAAACACGACATGGTCTAGGACAGTGAGTGGAGGTGTTAGGACTACAGAAGGTCCCCATGTCAGCAGCAGCCTGTGTTGCAGTGAGAGAGCCCTGACTCTAGTCAGAGAGAACTGGGTTTGAACCCAGGTTCCAGGACTCCAAGGCTTTGAAGCCTTTGGAATCTTAATCTCTGCAAACCAACATTTCCCTGCTCTGTAACAGGACAGAGATTCCCATTAAGCAGGGTGGCCAGTAGACCACTCATGTCAACCTAGGTGCACAAGTCTTGTTTCTGTTCCAGTGGCACCAGTGAAGGGTTTCTGAGCATGCATCCATCTGACACAGCCTGGAGCACCAAATCCACACCAAGTGAAGATGGAACAACTCGCCATACTGTGAGGCTAATTTTGGATTTACTGATGATCATCGTTGCCCTGGCTGGGCTGGCAGGAAACATGGTGGTGCTCTGGCTGCTGGGCTTCCGCATGCGGAGGAACCCCTTCTCTGTCTACATCCTCAACCTGGCGGGAGTTGACTGCCTCTTCCTCTGCAGCAGGATTATACTTTCCCTAAGTAGAATCGTAGAATCGCATCTCATTTCTTCTAATATACTTCTGATTAGCTTCTCTGTGTCCATCTTCACCTACATCGCAGGCCTGAACATTCTCAGCACCATTAGCACAGAGCGCTGCCTGTCGGTCCTGTGGCCCATCTGGTACCGCTGCCGCCGCCCCAGACACCTGTCAGCCATCACGTGTGCCCTGATCTGGGCCCTGTCCCTGCTGCTGAGCATCCTGGAAGGGATGTACTGTGTCTCTCTCTGGGGAAATCCATAATAATTGTCTGGAGTTTGAATTCATCATTGCTGCGTGGCTGATTTTGTTATTTGTGCTCATGTGTGGGTCAAGCCTGGTCCTGATGACCAGACTGCTGTGTGGCTCCCACCGGGTGCCGCTGACCAGGCTCTATGTGACCCTCATGCTCACAGTGCTGGTCTTCCTCCTCTGCGGCCTGCCCTATGGTATCAACTGGTTCCTTCTCAGCTGGATGGGATATCATTTTTCTTTTCCTCTTAACCTGGTTGTAATTCTCCTGTCCTGTGTCAACAGCTGTGCCAACCCCATCATTTACTTCTTGGTTGGGTCTTTTCAGCAGCGATGGCGGAGGGGGCGACAGACCCTGGGGCTGGTTCTGCAGAGGGCTCTGCAGGACACTCCTGAGGTGCAGGAACATGGAGAAAGCCTTCCTCAGGGAACCCTGGAGATGTCGGG